CCTCTGGCCCTGCGCCTCTGGCTCTGCTGCTGTGCTGGCTCCTTGGGCCCCTCCACAGGCACCGCCCACTGTCTCCCATTGCTGTGCACCTTCCTGTCATCGGGCTTCCACAGCTTCGCTGTGCTGTGTGTTTCTGTTGATTTCCCCAGCTTGATCTTCGTTGGTCTTGAGCCCTGCTTCCTGTCCCTTTCCCTCCTAGACTCTCACTGTGTGCTCTGGCCCCTCACCTTTCCTTTGTGTTTCCTGTTGCCTCACATCTAGCAGCTCTCTGCGTGTGTCTATTTACAGCTCATCCATTTCTTTTATGACTTAAGCCCGTCAAGTCCATTTAGTAAGCAGAACAGTGGCCCCCAAAGAGCCACATCTTAACCTGGAGGCACTCTGCAAGTGTGATCAGGACTCTTGGGATGGGGAGGCTAGCCTGGCTTAGGAGAGCTGGAGTGCCCCGGAGCTGGATAAGCGCTCCTACTGAAGACCCTGGAGAAGCAGTGTGGCTCATGTTGGGGTTTAATGGCAGGCAGTAGAGGAAAACAGGTCTCATGTCTCCCAGTTCGAGACTTTGTTAGAGTGGCAGGGAGCATTTGGCCTTACCATATTTTAACTGTGTCAATCTTACGTGGTATTTAAACCGATAAATTTCACTTTCGTAGTTTCTAATATCCTACCAAAAATGCCAGTCTTTTCTAGATTTTTGGACTGTCATCCAGCTGTCCCACAGCTGAGTCTGGGGGATAGAGGAGATCTGTCTGCATTTCCTGTGCTGGCCAGTGTTTTGTGTGGTTTTGTGTCTTGTGTGCTTAGTGGTCTTTGTATAGTGGGCATTTTGTCTGAAGATGTTTTCATAAAAATAACTTGAAGCTTGGATGTTGCTATTTTCCTCCAGATAGGATTCTAAAACTTGCCTCTAGCTGTATGTGGTGGGTCATTTCTATAATCCCAGCACTTGAGAGACTGAGGCAGGAGGATTGCTACCAATTTGAGGCTAACCTGGGCTACAGAGTAAAACCCTGCCTCAAAAACCCCCAAACAATAGTACTAAACAAAATAATAGGAACAGGTAAAGCTTGCTTCTGCCGCTGTCTGCACGCCCTCGTACTTGAGATGAACTGGGCTACTTACTTCTGTTTCCCAAGCTGCCTGGCTCAAGGCCACAGGCCGTGCAGGGCAGGACGGCTTTTCACATCCTGTCCTTAAAGCTCAGCTTGCCTGGGTCCAGTGTACAGCTGTGGTGCTCTCCAGGGTGTCCACTGCTGTGGGGTGGACACTGGCTCCTGTTCTCCAGGTCTGGAGAGACTCAACTCAGTGACTGAGCCCTTCCTCAACTCAGTGACTGAGCCCTTCCTGCAGGCACAGGTGACTCCGAGTACCAGCTTGGGTCCTGACTTCTCTGTCTTCTGTCATATTTAGTAGCGCTGGCTTTGATGACACTAATGATGTTTGCCACTCTGAGGGGACTGTGTAGCTGGCCCTCAGATCCAGAGGAGCAATTCTTCATGTGGCCTCTGGATTTGACTCAGCGCTGCACTGCTGGGGTGCAGAGCCACTTTCTCCTATGGGGGCTGCAGGTTTCACGTGTAGAGTTTCCATGCTCATTTCCTGGAAGGTTGCTCTAGAAGCAACAAGCAACAGTGATTTAAAAAAAAAAGTAAATAAGTGCCCCAGCCCCCACTTGGCTCACAGTCAGGGACTGGCATGATTGCTGGGGGCTAGCTTGGGCTTTTGGGTCAGGCAGACCTGGCTATGACCCTGGATCTGCCACATGGGCTTTGTGAGCTGGGACACTCCTTAGTAGCACACTGCTCACCCACTTCACCCTTATTGGCCCACAGCTGACCCAGGCCTGCAGGAGACGCAGAGGTCAGGGTGCAGGCCCTCTTCCCACTTCCTAGGAGTGCACAGGCCTGGCCTCAGATGCTGCACAAAGGGCAGGGGCCGCTGGGTGCAATGCCTCGCAGCAGCCCAGCTTTCATCTTTTACAGGCAGAGATGCAGGTTGAGACCAGTCGCCAGCTGCCTCATTAGCAACCACAGCACCGGCGTCACCTCATGTTGCACACTCGAAAACCTGGGAGTCACACTCGGAACGAGTCCAGCTCCCTCCCCTTCAGCCACCTGGAGATGCAATGACTGATTTGGCTAGATCCTATCTGCCCGTTCAAAGCTGGGGCTCCCTGCATTAATTACTGGTGGGAGGTGACTCACATGGCCTGGGGTCTAACAAGGCCCCTGGCCCTGCTGTTTAGACAGCCGCACATACAACATACATGTAGACATGCACACACATACACATTCATGCACATATAGGCATATACAAGTACACACAGCACACATGCATACACTCATGCACATAATAGACACAGAACACACATGCATACCCACTCATGCACTTACAGATGCATGAGCACATCCCTTCCACATGCAGACATGCACATATACACTCATGCACACATATACATGAACACACTGTACACACGCACACCCACTCATACACTTACAGATGCATATGCACATTCCCCTGCACATGCACACAAACATGACCATGCACTTACATATGTATTCCCACACAGACATACATGCAGGCATGCACACTCATGCATTTATAGACATGTACACGCACACACTCTATACATGTGCAGGCGTGCATACCCACACACACACACTGTGTAAGCCCCTGCATGGTGGTACCAGAGGGAAAGGCAGGGGCCATCATGACTAAGAAGCTTTACAATCACCTGTGTCCTGTGTCCGTGGTGGGATGCAAGAGCCCTTCACACCTTCCTGCAACATGGTTAGGTGTGGAAGGGTGACTATTCACGCTTGTACCCCTCACCGGGTGCCGGGCACTGTGCTTGGTGTAAGGACCACAGGGGTGAAAAAGCCTCTTGGATTTGGGAGAGGGCTATAAGCAAGTAAAGGGCCTGAGGGGCAGCAGGGCCTGACAGCCTGGCAACCAGAAGGGGCTTCCCGGGTAGAAGGGCTCTGGGGGGCAGCGTCGGAACCAGAGGGCTGAGCAGGGCAGGAGGATGAGGGCCCCAAAGCAGAGGACCTCTTGCAGAGGCTCTCCTAGGGAAAGCTGCAGGCCAGGACCAGACTGGAGCCCCCAGGGTCCTGTGGGGAGTTTGGGCAGCGGATACCCTCAGAGGGTTCCAGGAAGTTGCTAACTTGGACTTGCTGGTGGGTGGACAGGGGTAGGGGGTGGAGGTCAGAGGCTGGGTCGGCAGCTGGGGTGCTGGGGACGTGGTGAAGATGGAGACCACGGGTGCACTGGGGGAGGGTTTCAGAGTGGAGTGGGCAGGGTTTGTTGATGGGAGAGAGGAGAAAAGAGAGACAGAGGCTGCTGGCCTGAGTCTATGGCAGGAGGGTGCTGAAGGAGGGAGACCAGTACTGTGCATTGCTGCAGGGGCATGCTTGCTTGTTTGGGCCCCAGCACCCAGTCTCTCTAATCTTGGTAATAATATCCCCCAAATTTCCTCATGGTGTGCAGTTAGGTGGAGCATGGGGAGTCTGATGCACAGCTCAAGCAGTAGGACTCTGTCTTTTGGGTGGTGGCCCTGAGCCTACATAGAGCCCAGGAATGTGTGGTCTTTGGGAGGCCTTGGTGGGTGTGGAGGACTCTACTCTGTGATATCATTTGTGGACCTGGTGGGGTGTCCTGCATCTCTGTGACTGGAGGATTTGTCCTCTGTAGCCGAAGACCTCAGCACCAGCGTCTCTGTTCTCCATTCACCCCGAGAGTACAGGACAAATGTTGGGAGACAGAGGGCGACCCCAGGGGCAAGGGGCAGATCTCAGGCAGAGCATGTGAGTGGGTGAATCCAAGCCACAGAGGACCTGGCACCCATGGGGGCATTCCTGGGCTTGATGCTCACTGTAATTGGCACCTAAAGTTTCCGGTGAATTCCAGGGAGGCTTACTGCCAAGCTCTATCCCCGTGGGCCAGTGTGAGCCAGGAGGAGCAGCCCAGCACTGGTTGGTCTGGCTCCAGTGATTTGGTCATCCCTTGGGCTCCACAGTCTTGACATGCTGTGCCCCTTGCGCCAGCTGTACTGTATGTGCTTGGCCCAGCTGTCCACATACACACCTGGAGTTTAAGTCCACTGTTCACAAACCCCGCCCAGCCACTTGGGGTGGAGGAATTAGATTTGCTTTAGTGGAACATTCTGGTATTGGGATCAGAAGTCAGAGCTGTGTGTGCCACTTTACAAGCAACAGCCTGTGCATAGATGCAGGACACCTGTGGCAATTATGAGTTGGAAACAAACTAGAAACCAACAGACCAGAGGTGAAAGTGTATGTGCGGGTAGTGGGAGCTCGTCTGGCTCTTCACAGAGTGTTGGGTTGGGTAGCTAAGAAGCCTGACTTTGCATTGCTAGGCCCTGTCAGAGCTAGTAGAATTGGGGCTTGTCCTCTAAGCCCCACAGGGACTCAGCAAGGCAGCTGCAAGGTTTTGTGGGGCTCAGGAGTTCCCACCCTCCCTCCCCTGGCATTATTCATGAGTGTCCAATCTGTGCAGTCTCCCAGTGCATTGTCCTGAGACCAGTGCACAAGATTTAGGAAAGATTTTGCTAAAAGCCTTCTGACTGCAGGCAGAGGGAGAGGACTGTTGGCCCTCCTCTAGGCGCGGTCTGAGGACTCAGCTGCCAGCCTGAGGGTTGTTTTATCCCTGGGTGATGTGAGTAGTGTAGGGATGTGGAGGGTGTGTACCCTCAGGCAATGGAAGCGTCTCATACCAGCTGGTGGGCAGGCGTGCAGATATCAGGGTGAGGCTGGCATAGTGTAAGCGACAGGACCAGTGTGGGAGGGGTCTGGGGTCTGTGGAGCCAGAGCCAGGATCTGTTGTTTGGAGACACTGGGCAGGTTCTGCCTGGGAATCAGACACACCTGGGTATCCCTCCCTGACTTCCTTTCCTTAAAGCTGCCTGTTACCTGAGCCAGCCAGACCAGAGTTGTCAGGGAGGAGGCCTGGGCCTCCCTCCAGGGCTGCCTGAGTGGCTACTGGGCTCAGCAGTAGACCTCACTTTATCCATCTTCACACAAGTAAAGGAGCTGCCAGCAATCCCTGCCAGGAGCCCCCAACACACAGAACTGAGAGAGACTCATGACTTCAGTGTCAGTAGACAGGGCTGTGGGACACTGGGGTGGTGCCCACCGGGTCAAAATGGGGAACCGCGTGTCTCCATGAGAGGTTCCATGTGAGCTTCACTGAAATCAGGCTGTGCCTTCCTGAGAGACTCTATTTTCCAGGCAGCTTTGACTCTACTGGGAGGATGGAGGATGGCTGTGCATTTGGGTAGACACGTGAACGACACCCCATCTGTCCAGCAGCACCCATGAGGCTTCCACAAATAGCTTATTCCTAAAAGTAAAAAGTGACAACGTATAGATTTATCACAGTAAATTGGGACCATGGGAGCACACAGGAGGAAAGCCAGGCCTAAGAACTTAATCAAACACACCAGACTGAAGACGGATGTCTTCCACAGAGGAGGGCACTTGCAGTGATGGCAAAGGTCTAACCTGCTGTCTGACTCCCTGCTGGGTGAGTCAAGGGACTGGTTGAGAGAACTCAGCTCTGCTCCATCCCTGCTGATAAGGCTTATTCAGCTTATTTGAGCTTATTTGTCTCTCTGGACCCGCTGTCTATCTGTCTGCCTGTTTGTCCTGATGTTATGTCTATAGCCTCCAGTGTTCTGAGCCTTACCTCCGCAGGGCTGGGCAGCTGACCCTTGAAGAGACTCTTGCGTTGCTGTTAGCTTCCCATTCCTGCCTCAGTTAGGCCTCTTTGAAACTCTTCAAACCTAGCAGTGGCCTCTTTATCCTTTGTAGCCATATCAGGCTACAACCTAGATAGATGGACAGACAGACAGATGGTAGATAGTAGACATAGAGATAGATGTTAGCTAGTAGATATAGAGTCAGATAGATGTTAGATAGATAGATATAGGCGCATTCACTGTGTGATGTGTAATATGTGATCTGAGGGTTAATAAGTAACTAAGATTGGAATCAAAGAACCTGTGTTTGCCTCAGCTGCCAACGCAATCCAGACTCCTTGGCAAATTGCTGCCCTACCGTGTAAGTTAATCATTATTTAATAAATTCTGACATCATGGAAAGATAGAGTTGTGTTGGTGGTGGTTCTGACATAGCATGTTCCTGACAAGCTTGCCCTAGAACGAAGCCCCCAGAATAATTTCAGGTTGCTTCTGTGGCACCCACCCTTTCTCCTGGTACCCTTGGGGTGTGATGCTCAGGGTTAGTCAGCTTCTGTTGCTGTGACAGAACACTTAAGAAAATGAACTTAGGTCACAAGCAGCCCAGCTTTAAAAAGTGGATGTTTAGCCAGGCGTGGTGGCACACGCCTTTAATCTCCAGGCTCGGGAGGCAGAGGCAGGTGGATCTCTGTGAGTTCAAGGCCAGCCTGGTCTACATAGTGAGTTCCAGGACAGCTGGGGCTACAGAGAGACCTCGGTCTCAAAAAGACAAAAAAAAAAAAAAAAAAAAAAAAAAATTAAAAAAGTGCGTCCAGGATAGGACACGGTGTTTGGGAGCTTCCTGTTGCAACAACTGGTTTCCACATGTTTTTTTGCTGTGGCCGGGATGTTAGGTGAGGGCCTGGGCAAACCTCGGGGACCCAGATGTGGCGTCAGGGGAATCTTGGGCTGGGGAGGGGTCTCTGCCGTCTATATATCCCTGACATCCTCTTGTCTTCTGCCTGTGTGTGCTAGCCATCACATCCCTGTGCCTGAGGGTCAGGCCACATCCAAGGCTCCTGCTCACTGCCCTTCTGAGAGGGTCTCCCCTGCCTCCTCAGCCTTGGACAGCGTTCTTGACCATCCGGTGTGTTTCCAGCTCACCAGGGCTCGCTTCCTGCAGCTCTCCTGCTGCGTGCTTCAGCAGGCTGGTTGCAGCAGGAGTCCCTCCCACCCCCCACCCCTGCACCACTCTGTTCCCAGAGTGGGGCCTGAGCATCTGCATTTCCAACGAACTCCTAGGTGATACCCCTGGGGCTGGTCTCAAAGCCTTCAGAGGCTGGGCAGACAGCCTTGGCACCAGGTAGAAACACCTGCTGGCTCTCCACAGAGACACTGCCTGGGGCTCAAGTCTGACTCAGGTTCTGATGGCATGACTGAGACCAGCCAGACATCTCCATGTCTGGTGGCCAGAGGAACAGGGCTGGAACCCAGAGGCAGCTTGCTGTAGGGACCCACGCCCTCAGAGCTCTGCAGTGTCAGAGTTTTAGTCTGGGAAGTCTTTTTGTCATAATCTCTACAGATTAAAGATGTAGGGGCTGGAGAGATGGCTCAGCAGTTAAGAGCACTCACTGCTCTTGCAGAGGACCTGGGTTCAATTCCCAGCACCCATACAGTGGTTAATGAACAACCAACTCCAGTTCCAGGAGATCTGACCCTTCTTCTGACCTCCTTGGGCATTGCATGACATGGGTGCACTACACACATGCAGGCAATATACTCATACACATAAACATAAAATAAAAATAAGTGAAATATTTTTTTAAATGTAAATTAGAGTTTAAAAATCAGGCTGGAGAGATGGCTCAGCGGTTAAGAGCACCGGCTGCTCTTCTAGAGGACCTGGATTCCATGCCCAGCACCCACATGGCAGCTAACATCCATCCTTAACTCCAGGTCCAGGAGATCTGACACCCTCTTTTGACTTCCTTGGGCATTGCACGACATGCAGGCAGTACACTCATAGACACAAAAGAAAAACAAAATATTTTTAAAAACTCTACACACATGGGTTCTCTGTGTTAAATAGTTTGTGTGTGTTTGTGTGTGCAGGTGCGTGTATGTTTGTGCGGGGGGTGAATGTGCACCTCAGATGATTTTCCTCAGGTACTGTTCATCTCTTTTCTTCTTTTCTTTTCTTTTTTTTTTTGAGATAAGGTCTCTTGCTGGCCTGGAGCTCACTAATTAAGCTAAGCTGTCTGGCTAGTGAGTTCCAGGAATCCGCCTGCCTCCCCTCCTCAGCACTGAGATTAAAACACATGCCACCACGCGTGGCTCTTTGGGGTGGGGATTCTGGATATTGAACTCGGTCCTTAGGCTTGCAGAGCAAGTCTTTACTCACGGAGTCATCTCTCCAGCACTAAATAATTTCTTCTAGATTTTCCTTTAAGTTAATACTAAGACAAAAATATATAGTGCTCTTCAGGCTTGGGTGGTGCATCCTGGCACTTGGGAGGTTGAGGCCCGAAGATTTCAAATACCAGGCCAACCTCGTCTTCATAGCAATGGTCTGACTCAAAAAATTAAAACATGGGGCTGGAGATATGGCTCATCAGTTAAGAGCACTGACTGCTCTTGCAGAGGACCTGGGTTTGGTTCCCAGCACCCACATGGTGGCTAACAACCATCTGTAACTCTAGTTCCAGGGGATCTGACATCCTCTTCTGACATCTGTGGGCACTGCATGACACAGATGCACTACACACATGTAGGCAATACACTCCTACACATAAAAGATAATAAATTAAAAAAATATTTTTTATTATTTTTATTTTATGTTCTTGAGTGTTATGCCTACATGTAGGTAAGTGCACCTGTGCCATGCAATGCCCGTGGAGGTCAGAAGAGGCTGTTGGATCCCCTGGGACTGGAGTTACAGACAGTTGTTAGCTGCCATGTGGGTGCTGGGATTTGAACCCCGGTCCTCTGCAAGAGCAGTCAGTGTTCTTAACCGCTGAGCCATCTCTCCAGCCCAGATAATAAAATATTTTAAAAAACTAAAACAGGCTGGGGAGATAGCTCGGTTGTCATCCCAGGGCTGGGGAGGCAGATGCAGGATCCCTGGAGCTTACTGGCCGGCATATGTAGCCAATCAGTGAGAGACTCTGGCTCAGAAAATAAGGTGGAAAGCAATGAGGAAGACACGTGACATCAACCTCGTCTCCCCACGTATGTACACGCGAACATGTACACAGACACCACACACACACACACAAATGTGATGCCACACAAACAGTCCCAATATTTAGTAAAATGTTTTTTGGTAAGTGATTCTTGCTGAGACCAGTCTGGGTTCTTTCTCATCCCCTTGCCCTCGTGGCAGTGTTCTGTAGGGAGCTACACGCTGTTCACTGATGGAGTGATGTGTGTGTGTGTGTCTGTGTGTGTGTGTCTGTGTATGTCTGTGTGTGTGTGTCTGTGTGTGTGTATCTGTGTGTGTGTGTGTCTGTGTGTGTGTGTCTGTGTGTGTGTATGTCTGTGTGTAGCTGTGTGTGTGTGTCTATGTGTGTCTGTGTGTATCTGTGTGTCTGTGTGTCTGTGTGTGTCTGTCTGTGTGTGTGTCTGTCTGTGTCTGTGTGTCTGTGTGTGTATCTGTGTGTCTGTGTGTGTGTCTATGTGTGTCTGTCTGTGTCTGTGTGTCTGTGTGTATCTGTGTGTCTGTGTGTGTGTATCTGTGTGTGTGTGTCTATGTGTCTGTGTGTGTGTCTGTGTGTCTGTGTGTGTCTGTGTGTGTCCGTGTCTGTGTGTCTGTCTGTGTCTTGTGTCTGTGTGTGTGTCCGTGTGTGTGTCTGTCTGTCTGTGTGTGTGTCTGTGTGTGTCTGACTGAACTGGATGTGATGTTGTGTTCTGCTGAGTGATCTGAGTCCAGCCAGGACAACAGCACCAAGTGGACTGGACCCACTCACCTCTCCCCTGCCTGTAGCTGCCTGGGGGTCCATGCCATTCAGAAGTGGCTCCAAATGGAAAGAGCTCAGAAATAGGGAGCTACTCTGATTATTGTGGGCTGACGGAGCAGGCGAGGCTGGCCAGGGCTCTTCCCAGCAGCTTTGTTTCAGCCAACAAGTCACCAGGAAGCCAATGTGTAAATGAACACTCAGGGTTCAGGCAATTGGCCAGACAGGTTTGGCGTGTCCTATGATGGAATCAGCCAGGTGCCCACAGGGCTAGAGTGACATAGAAGGACTCAGCCTCTGTGGACACAGCCGGATTCCTGGGTTGTCTTTTCCCTCTACTCCCTGTGGCCACCAAGCTGCTTGGCCATGCCCCTTGCTATGTTCAGAGAGCTCAGCTTTTACTCAGTGCCATCTCTGTGTGGCTCATGCTTCCAGTGTGCATACAGCTGGGATTGGCCAGGGTGCTGTCTTGGAAGGGCGCCCCGAAGTATTCTGTGGGTTCTCTTGATACAGGTGTAGGTTTGGGTGGTGCTTGAGGGTACAGGCAGGGGAGCAGGGTGGAGCTGCCCTCATAGCCCCAGACAAGGTATGGTGTGGATGGCACCTGCCCTGGGAGAGGGGAATGAGAGACTAGCTGGTCTTCCTGGTGAGCTAACTCAGATGCTTTGTTGGCTCTGGGCCTCTCCCCTTCTCAGCTTTCTTTAGGAAAGGGGTGGAGAGGGATGCTCTATCCAAGAACCAGGGAAAGTGCTGCTTGGTGCTCAGAGAGTCAACTGTGTTGGTGGATAGCAAGACACAGTGAGCAAAAGAGTGTCTGTCTGTGTGTGTGTGTGTGTGTGTGTGTGTGTGTGTGTGTGTGTGTACAGATTCTTGCTGCAGTGGACCAGGACACTAAGTAGTGACCTCCCAAGGGGCTTAGGTTAATTTTCATTCCCTTATGAGATGAGGCTTCAACAATGGGCTCATTATTACTTGTGTAACAAGAAAAATAGGATTATGTTTAAAAGCCAGTGTTTGTCTAAGTGACGCAATGTATTTGTCAGGTATGACAGCTGGGAACAGTCACAGACCACTGGGGGCAGAGCTTCGTGGTTGGCAGCACACCTGGTGTCTGTCAGCAGGAATGAGATGACAGTGGCCTGTCACTGTGACTAAGATCACAAACCACACAGGAGCTCATTCTTTTAAAAAATTTTTATTTTAT